AACCGCTTCCCGGCCTCCCTATAGAAGAAGTATTGCTATATATGTGATCTTGCATTTCTGGGTAGGGGGCGCGTGCGCCCTACCCACGCCGCCGTCTGTCAATCACTGGCACTCGGTGATTACCAAGGATCTCCAATGGAGAGGAGAACTGTTTTGTTTACTACCAGTTCTCCTCTCTGTCAGCTTGGGCACACTGCTTTGGATGGCTGTGCACAGCCATCCAAAGCAGTGTGCTTATAGTGAAGCACACAGTTAACCCTTTGATCGCCCCACATGTTAACCCCTTCCTGCCCAGTGCCATTACTACAGTGTCTGCTTTTTTTTTTTTTTTTTTTTTTTTTTTAAGCACTGATCACTGTATTTGTGTCAATGGGAATGTCAGTGACACCAAGTCCGTTCCCCCCAGTGTCAGAATGTCTGCCGCAGTCCTGCTAGAAGACGTCGATCGGCACCATTACTAATAGAAAGAAAAAACCCAGTATATAGCAAAGACATGTAGCAGATTACAATTTGGCCTAAATGTATGACTAAATTTGATTATTAAAATTTTTTTTACTGGATATGTTTAATACCAAAAAGTCAAAAATATCGTTTTTTTTTTTTTTTTTTTTCAAAATTGTCGGTCTTTTTTTTTTTTTTTTTCTTCTAGCATAAAAAATAAAAACCGTACAGGCGATCAAATACCACCGCAAGAAATTTGTGGGGAAAAAAAGGGACATAAATTTCATTTGGGTGCAACGTTGCATCACCGTGCAATTGTCAGTTAAATTAACGCAGTCCTGTAACACAAAAAATGGGCCTGGTCAGGAAGGGGAGTACATCCTTAGGGCAAGTGGTTAATGGAGAATAACAAGGCCAGGGGGGAGGTTTGGATTGCTTTCAACTCTAGGGCTACATTGCTTGTACCCAATGACAGTAAATATGTTACTGGCAGGATTAGCAGGTAAAGAACCATGAAAAAAAAATAAAAAAGGAAAAAAGAAAAGGCCACCTCATCTATAGATTTTGCATGTGCAATATATTATATATCTTTTTTTCCTGTGTTTTAGATAATCTTATAGTACATCTTGTAAATACTACAATGCATATAGTTATGTGTTGGTGCCTTTGCTTTTTTGATGAAAATTAAATAAAAAATACAAAGCTGCTTTGTATTAAAAAGTGTACAGGAAACAAAATCTCCCATGTTTGTGTAGCCAGACGGAAGTTATTATGACTTTTTTTTATATAAAACAATGGCTTAAGCTCACAAGTCAACATAAAGATCCTGTTCCTCAGCTCTTCAGCTAGTAAAAGCGTTCGTCTTCGTTTTTAGTAATAAAATAAGTGTACAGAGCAGATAAGAATATTCCTAGTAGATTATACGAACACCAGATATACTATTGCACTGTATCCTGGCCCCAGGTTCCCCCTGGAAGTCTGATTCTCACCTGTTCTGATCTTCTTTTTTATGCGCTCCAGTTAATTTCCCCCCCCCTTTTTTTTTTTTTCTCTTCAACCTAAATAAGGACATGTACATTCTGGTGCGTTTTTGGTGCGTTTCGGTTCTTTCCAGTGCATTTTTGGTGCATTTAGGTACGTTTTTTTAATGTGTTTTACTGTGTTCCAATACAGTTCAATACAGAAACAATGCAGCATGTTCTACTTTTTTTTTTCTGGAACTGGAATGCACTGGAACTGACCATGTGTGTGTGAATTTTTTTTAAAGCTCAAAAAAAATCTGGATAAAAAAAACGCTGGTAATAACATTTTTAGTAGCTTTAATATCTCAGGATTAATCTTACTAAATCCCACCCACCCTCTATGAGGCCAATTATATCCTGAATTTCCGTTCTCTTAAAACCTTACTCGTGTCCTGGTCTCGCCAATCCCTCTGGTGGATTGGCAGAATCCATGCAATGAAGATGACTATTCTTCCAAAGCTCCTATACCTATTCTGCACCCTCCCCATCCCAGTCCCACTACCACTTCTCCCCATCTTGGGCAACACTCTGTTTCCTCCTGGCCTTGAGTCCTACAGGGCCTTCTATTGGTGGGTCTCCTAAAAACGTCAGTGTGTCTACTTGTTCCTCACTGGTAGTTCTGTTTACACCTGGACAGAAATAAGGGACAAATGCCAAGCCCCTCATACTAACTTTTCTGATTTTTACAAATTAAACATTGGGTGACTTCGGGGCTCAATGACAAAGACCCGACAACTCAATTGTCCCTGTTTTGAGCATATTTGTCATCAGACTCCCCCTAACTTATTTCTATCCTGTACTCATAGCTGACTTACCGTCAGAATCCCAACAGCCACACTTATGTTTCCATGTGGAAAAGGACCTTTAAAAGCACCAAAGATATGGGCTGCTGGTCAAAGATATGGATAACCCTAACCTCATGCTCTATCAATATTCTTACAATGGAATCAGCCATTAAAACTGTTACAAGGTGGTACTTGGTCCCGTCCTGTCTAGCGCACCTTCATCTATCTGCCCCCGGTACCTGTTTCCAAGGCTGCGCTACCCGGGAGATGTCCTATACATATAGTGGACATGCCCTATTCTCTCTCGTTCTGGTCAAAGGCCTTTAAACGTCTGCATTCATTATTAGCTTGCCCCTTCCCAAGGGACCTGTGGCATATTCTTCTTCTACACCTGAAACCCCTGGGCCTTCCAAAACACCAATTCAAGCTGGCTACATACTATTGGCAGCTAAACAAACCATATCAAAAGCCTGGAAACAGTTCATATCCTTTCAGGAAGTCCATTGTCCATTGCCATTAATGAAATACTCTAGCATTCTTTCAGATACCCACAAAAGATTACTAAACATGGACTCCATGGATTCAACACGCCCATCCTGCTATACCGTAAGGCAGTTTTACTTCGCTATAACTTTGGAGGCCCCATAGCCCAGGTTCAAGCGCTTTTGACGTTCTCCTTTTGATCCTTTCTTGTTTTCCACCCCTTCCTCTCCTTCTTTTCTCACCCCACTGGCACTCCCACAGGGATGATTTGTGATGTGTTCCATGTATTTTTTTTGGTTCAACTATATACTTTATGGTTTCCAAATGGCACTACTTCTTTTGCTATTGTCGGATATTAAGCAATAGGTGTATAGTCCCTCATGCATTCCTTATGCTGATTTATCGACATGATATGGTTGATATTTTTTTTTTTTGTTTTTTTGACATGTTATTTACATGGTCACCAGTTAGTTATGTTTTTTCTGTGCACGACTGCTTTTGACTGTTACCTCTGTTATAAATTTGCTTGTACACATGATAGCTGTTGTGTTTTTTTATTTTCTAAAATCAAAATTTTTCAATAAAATTGTATTAAAAAAAAAAAAAAAAAAAGATAAAAACCCAGATGTAAGAAAAAAAAAAAATGGCAGGCTTGATAGGCTGTCATCTTTTTCTGCTGTCACTATTCTATATTTCTATTAAATGTGCATGTATTCTAGAGATGTACCAAATGTTTTTCATTATATGCCCAGACATACAAGCCGTGTTGGTAATCTTTTTTACATGTAAACCAGCACGGTTTTTTTTTTTTTTTCTTCTTCAATGCTTTTACACTTCTAAACATAACGTCAGTGTAATTGAAGAGCACAAATATTTTCTTATCGTGACTCTCCTGTTCACAGCATGTAGGCGCCTGATGTAATGAGGCGCTGGGACCGTGATCTAATAGTCATTCAACCTGTGCTGATAGTCATCCCCTTCTTGCTTGGTGTGTGTTGGAACACGCATTGCTTGGTGTTGTGGAAACCTCTGCATGTGCTTAAGTATCTTGATAACGAGACAGCAAGTCTAATAATTTTTACATGGTTGTGGGATGGGAAGCTGAATATGACAGCTGTTAATTTACTACCAGCAGCATGTTTTTAGTCATGACCTACTTTTCTTCTGGCAGGAGGCTTCTGTGCATTGAACTCTTTTCATGTTTGATCTGCTTGATTTCAGCAAAATACTTGATATTTTGTATATTTTTATCAGCTGCAGCCCAGCTAAATACAGAGCTCCATGCAATGCTTACAGCAGGTTATGATTGTTGTACATAACCACTGTAATACTTAGCTGGCCTACATTCAAACAATACTAGGCTACACACAAATACTAATTCTGAAAATCTCCTGAATTGGGACCCTTTCACATGGAAGCCCACCTTTCAGGTTTTTGGGCAGTCCTGATCAGAAGGTCCATGCCTTCCTATAGACATGCGGGTGTAAACTGTAAAATAAAAAAGAAAATGGAAGGGGATTTGTCTACTTTCATTTTAGTCAGATCATATCGGAGGGTGGATGGGTGTAAACTAATCATGGAGTCCATTTACTCCTGGCTGCCCATAGAGCAGAACAGGCTCTGTGTTCACTCCTCTAAAACTGAGCGAACATGGATGTGTCATCTGCCCACTGTACTCCGATCAGCAAGGGATCTGTGAGCTGATTCCATGCTGATTGGAACAGCATCTACCCCATGTGAAAGGGACTTTATTGAACAGGCAGATTATGTGATCGATTCTGTGTCATGACCTGGTTCACCTGTTGGTGGCGCTATGGATCTCTGGGCCGAAATCTGTAGTTTCATTGTGCACCAGCAGGTTCCAGCAATCATCCCCACATGGCCACACCTGCTGGGAGGGTACTTAAGTTCCACCTCCGCTATTGCTCCTTGTGTGTTTTGATTGCCTTGCTTACTGCCAAATCCGTATGCCTGTTTATCCTGCTCCTGGGCTATTCTTGCATCCTGTACCCTGCTGCTTTATTTCTACTCCCCTTGTTCCTGTACCCAGTACTGATTTCCCCTTTCCTTGCGTCCCTGGAATTTCCCTGTTACCAATGCTTCCTGTTTTGTATATACACTATATTGCAAAAAGTATTGGGGCACCCCTCGAAATCATTGGATTCAGGTGTTCCAATCACCTCCATAGCCACAGGTGTATAAAATCAAGCACCTAGGCATGCAGACTGCTTCTACAAACATTGGTGAAAGAATGGGTCGCTCTCAGGAGCTCAGTGATTTAAAGCGTGGTACCATGATAGGTTGCCGCCTGTGCATTATGTCCATCTGTGAAATGTCCTTGCTAATAAATATTTCACGGTCAACTGTTGGTGGTATTATAACAAAGTGGAAGCAACTGGGAACAACAGCAACTCAGCCACAAAGTGGTAGGCCACGTAAATTGACAGAGCGGGGTCAGCTGAAGTGCACAGTGCGCAGAAGCCGCCAACTGTCTGCAGAGTCAATAGCTAAAGACCTCCAAACTTTGTGTGGCCTTCAGATTAGCACAGCAACAGTGCATAGAGAGCTTCATGGAATTAGTTTCCATGGCCGGGTAGCTGCATCCAAGCCTTGCATCACTAAGTGCAAATGCATAGCGTCGGATGCAGTGGTGTAAAGCATGCCGCCACTGGACTCTAGAGCAGTGGAGATGTGTTCTCTGGAGTGACAAAAACTCCCTGCACACAGTTAACCCTTTGATCACTCCTCATGTTAACTTTTTCCTGCCTAGTGCTGTTAGTACAGTGTCAGTGCTTTATTTTAGCACTGATCACTGTATTGGTGTCACTGAGGATATCAGTGACACCAAGTCAATCCCCCCCCCCAGTGTCCACAGTCCCACTATAAATCGCTGATTACCGCCACTACTAGTTAAAAATAAAAAAAACCCCAACAAATTCCAGTATATACTCTGCCATTTGTAAATGCTAAAAAAAAAAAGTATGTGTAAATTAATTGGTTTACGTGAAAGTTACAGCGAAGACATGTAGTAGAATACATTTTGGCCTAAATCCATGACGAAAATTAATTTTTTAAAAAATTTTTACTGGACAAGTTTTTAATAGCAAAAAGTCAAAAAAAGTTTTTTTTTTCTCAAAATTGTTGGTATTTTTTTTTTTTATAGCGCAAATTTAAAAACGCACAGGTGATCAAATACCACAGAAAGAAAGCTCAATTTGTGGGGAAAAAAGGACGCAAATTTAATTTGGGTGCAGCGTTGCATGACCACGCAATTGTCAGTTAAGGTAGCACAGCGCTGTAACGCAAAAAATGGCCTGGTCAGGAAGGGGGGGTAAATCCTCAGGAGAGCAAGTGGTTAATAAGTAAGGGGTGGGGCCATCTGGTGATGGGAGTTGGCGATACATTGATCGAAATACAGCTTATTCAGCAGGGACCGGCCAAGTTTTGATCAGTGTATGGCTGTTCCTGCTTGAAGTCGATAGTTTGATCAATTTCTTTGGAGGGGACATACAGGAAAACTTTTGTCGATAAGCGTCTGCAGATCAGTGTATTCCTTAACAGTGGAGGATCCCGCTGTCAGAATACAATGCCCCAGATAGTGGAATGTCTTGGGTTTTTTTTTCCGTTCAGCCCGCTAGCTGATTAAAAAACAAAACGATGTGTGTAGCCAGCTTTAGTGTGATCTTGTGATGACCTTGACAGATCTACAGTAGTTTTCTTCTGATTGCTTCTACTATAGTGCCTGCTCAGGGTTACAGAAATAGTTTGCGCTCCATACAAAGGGAGGCTATTGGCAGGTCTATAATTCTTTAATGATTGCTGTCAAAATAATCATGTGGGTGCCTTTACAACTGAATATATAAGGCATTGTGGCCGCTTAGTGGTTATCACGCTTGCCTTGCTTTTCTGGGATGCTGATCTCAATTCTAACAAAGGATAGCATCCAGATAGTGTGAATAGTATTCCTTTTGCCTTTGTTTGCTTCTGGTTTCCTTCCTACAGTCCACAAATACACTGGTAGGGTAAATGGCTCACCAGACTGGCATAATAAAATTGTCCTCCTAGACTGACATTTGAATGGTCTGTCAGGAATGGACTCAGCACTGGTGGTGGGACTCACCTGCCGTGTGGGCTGCAGTACCAGAGCTGACCAGCGGGTGCTCTCAGCAGCCAGAAGCTCACACCTGCAATCAGCCAAACCTGGGGCTGATTGCAGAAGGTGTATTTAAGGGATGACCAGGCCTGTGATCTGGGCCTTGGTGTATGTTTTCCCATGAGCCTCTGTACCTGGTATCCTGTGTTCCTGCTTCGTTGCTGACCCTGCTTGATCCTGACCTCTGCTGACCGTCTCCTGTTGAACCCCTGGCTTGCCTGACCATCCTTCTGCCTGATCACCTGTACCGCGCTGCCCGTGAGTTACTGAACCCAGCTTGTGACCCTGACTATTCTCTGCCTGCTCCTTTGGTACCTTGCTGCCCGCACGTTGCTGACCTGGCCCGTCTGACCACGCTAACTACTCTGCCATCCATCCATCCTGCACGGATCCAGCCGTCCCTGCTCACACCTTCTGCCTCTTCACATCAGGCTTTCTACCTGAACATACCTCTGGCGGATCCCTCTACCACTAGCAGGTGTACTCAGGGGCCGCGACCTGGTTCCTGTCTGCTCCAAGTCCATCCCCACCATCAGGGGCCCTGGTGAATAGCAGACTGGGACTTAGACTCCGCGCCCTGGGGAATCCTGTCCTGAGGACCGCTAGAGGTACCACCAAACGGTCATTACAGAACCCTACGGCCGGCCTGACCGTTCCACCTCTCCAGCCCTGACTACGCCTGTGTTCCTGCACCTCCTAAGATTAGTGGAAGGTTGGTTTGCTCACTGTGCGTTTATATATATATATATATATATATATATATATATATATATATATATCTGGGTGGCTAATAATAAACTGTATTATTATACTATACCTGAAACCTGCGTTTCCCTGTGTCAGTCCACACCTTTCTGGTCACTCCTAGATTCCTGACATGGTCTATGTATGCTGTAAAGCTCTTTGAAACTTTTTGGTACTACAACAAAAAATTACAATATCTACTTGAATATCACAAACATGTTTTACTTGTCTAGCGCAGTATTGGGAGAACAATAGGTGAGCAATCATACACCTTATGTCCTGTTCCTAGGAACTACAGCACCTATTCACTGTTGATGATCGAGAGGTGAGGGGATGGGCTCCTGAATTTGTGATCACCGTGACATCTAATTGCAATGATCAAATGACCTGGAAGCCCATGTTACACCTCGGGCATTAGGAACATTGAAAGGGACTTCAGAGGAATTCACTTGGGAACATACACAATCAGCTAATATTTCTCCCTGCATTAAGGATACCTTTTCTATCCTTATTGATACAGTATGCACATGTCTTGCTCCGGAGCAGCCTGCTTGGTCAGACCAAAGATCACCACCCTAGGTTTCTTAAAGATGTCTCATCTCGCCAAAACATTCCCTGTAAAGTCACTTCTGGAGCTTGTCTTATAAGGTGACTGGTTTCTTTCTGAACAGATCTTCACCCCACTTAAGCACTTATTGGCCTTCAGAGCCATTTGGACACAGGACTTTTCAGATGTCATGGTCCAGAAAATTGTATCCAGGGGATGGAATAAAGAGCTTTGGGAGGCATGAAATACCTGGACAACCTCCTCCTGAAGGAACAGTAAGCCCAGGCCTTATCAGCCAGTCTGTTTGATTGGTACAGACCCTGCAGAGGTTCAGATGGATTCTGAATTTCTGGAAGTCCGTGCTTTAACCAACCCAACATTTGCACTTTGTGTTGGATTCTATCCTGGTTTCTGGGTTTTTTTTCCTCCAGACATTCTCTTAGATTCAGATATTCCCTTGGCTATCATGTTTGAAACCTATGTTCCATGTGACACTCAAATTGCTTTTAAATGAGGGCCTTTGACCTGATGCTAGTTTCTTTTGAGGCAGTACTGTATGCTTCGTTTCATTCCAGACTTTTTGCAGCTTAATATTCTCACGGGGGGACGAGATGCAAATCTTCTAACAGGAAGTTTCATCAATGAACTGGACAGGTTTGTGTCACCAGGAGCTAGAATCCTTGAGCCTTTGCAGTGGATCCCCTGGTGACTGTGCGATCAATTCAACTTGATATACACTTTTCCTATGCTAAAGTTTCTTCCTTATCTGCTTTGCAGGATTGAGAGGGAGTGTAATCCAGATTGCTCCAAACTGAACCTGGAGGTTTTTTCATATGAAGCCATCCTTTTGCATTTAAAAGCTAAGAAAGGGACCCCTCACAAAGTCTATTATTGCACCTACAAGGCCTACTTTGCACGGTGTGTGGATAGAAATCGCATTCCAAGAATGTAGTCCATGGGGCAAATCCTTACTTTTCTCCAGTCCTGTCTGGACAGCATACAACCAAAGATCAAGTTTCAGCCCTAGCCATTCTTTTCCAGGGGCTTCTTGTATCGTATTCCTTAGTCAAAGCTTTTGCAAAAGAAGTCGCTCACATTGTTCCTCTGGTACACTCCATAGTGACACTGTGGGACCTCCACTTGGTTTTGTTGGTTCCTCATAAACCACACTTTCAGAACATCATGGAAATCACCTTGTATTACCTCACTCACAGGGTTGTCTCTCTTGTTGATATCACTCTCACTCTGTAAGAGATGTCTCTGAGCTAATGACCTTATCCTGTAGAGAAACCTTCTTAGTATTGGGTCACAAAACAACCTTGTCCCTATGACTTCCTTTCTTCCCAAGGTGGTTTCCTGCTTCCACTTTAATCAGGATATCAGGCTTACCTTCTTATATTCTTCTCCAAAACATTTCAGGTAGATTTCTCTCCACTGTTTGAATATGATCTGCGTTGTGGGAGTCTACCGAATGGCTACAGCCTCTTTTAGACAATTGTATTATCTTTGTAATTTCTCAGGGTCCCTGCAGGGGACATCCTGCCCCTATTTTAATTTTTGCCAAGTGGTTTAGACTAGTGTTTCTCAACCTTTTTTTCAGTCAAGGCACCCTTTAAAATTATGGACAGTCTTGAGGCAACCCATTCCAAAATGTGAAAAAAACTATTTGAATAGTTCTATATAACGCAGCAACATCCACACATGTGGGGCACCCAACATTAGAGGTGATTTATTCTTACAAATCAAATACACTTTTACACACTGGTACTGAGTAGTATTCCAGTGTTTCTCTTCTCCCTCAGTTTATCTCCATTATTGAGCTAATGTGACCCTAGCACTGATGGAGAGGGGTAGGGGAAGGTCAAACTAGAATGCTGTGCAGGCAGCTGATATGCTCATCAACTGATGAAAACCTGTGGCTTTGTGTAACTAAAATGTAGGTTTGTTCCACCCGCTGGCTTGCATACAAGTTTTGGGGAATTTGTGGACATTTTTCCAAGGCACCCCTGATGATACCTCAAGGCACCCTGGTTGAGAGAGGCTGGTTTAGACAAGTCCTCATTTGGGCTTAGTTGGAAATATGAAGTTCCTCCCTTTTTTTATGTTAAGTCAGTCTAGCAGATCTATCAGTGTATTTTGAGTTTTTCAGCATTTTTCTAGATTAAGAAGCTGCCACCTTGTCTTCTGCTTACATGTTTACGTTTTTCCAGGTGGATGTGTTGGCCTTTTCTGATGCCAGTTTCGGGTGTAAGATGCTTCAGGCTGCT